TATATGACTGGTTTATGCAAGGAGTGCACAAGCTTCCATTTGTTGTATCAACAATGTGCACTTGCTTTGTACCCATATCATAAATTTTCTTTGTCATTAAGCTCATCTGGGTCATGAGAGTGGCTATGTTCTATGCATTGCAATTACAACAAGTACTAATACACACGAAAAAGTGAAAGTGGATATAATAAAAAATTCGTGTTATATTCCCCTAAAACAACAAAAAATAAATTCAAAAATCATGGCAAAGCAATGAGTATTGATCATTAGGCCATTTCTTATGGACCTACAAAATTTCAGGTCAATCAGAGTCCACCAATGAAATTCTACAAAATCAGCATTTACTAATACATACAAAAAAAAAAAAATGTAATCATAAATTTGTGTTGTATGATCACAAAACCCCGTGAACTGATGGGTTGTCTTTCCCTCTCACAGGCTAAACTTAATTCATCTTTTCTTTTCTATTCGTCTCTCTCCTGCAATCTCCGAGACTCAATTCCAACTACACCATAGAGATCTTCATTCACCATATATTTGAGTTGTGGCAAAAAGTGGGCTTTCTTCACATTTTGATGCAAGGCTAGAGCTTTAAAGTTCGGATTATATTTTAATTGACTACCATACTGGAAGATTTAATACAATATGTGAAAAACGATATATATATATATATATATATATAGGCGGGAAAATATGTACAACTGGTCACTCTTGTTAATACCTAGCTACACCTTTGAGGTTCTGAATATTAATAAAATGAGTAAAAATCATGAAATACAGGTACAAATTGTAGCTAATATTAAAAAAATGTTAAATGTGTAGTAAAAAGTGATACTAATATTTAGTGAAATAATTAAAGTGCGCGATCTACTCAACCCCACCTAAATCCTGCTGTAAGAGTCCCATACAATGATATGCCCTTTGAAAGATTTGTTGCTATTCTTTCTCTTTGTTCCTTCTTTTTTGTGTTTTTTTCCTAGGACTTGGGAGTTTCCTGAAAAATAGGGTCTTGAATTTCATCTGTTTCTTGGTTTTTGTATCAATACTTAAACTCATTTTCTTCTTTATACCATTCTATTTGTAGAAATTCTCACACACACACACACAGTGAGACACAAGCTTCAACGTGCATTTGAGCGTGCAAGATTGTGAAGATATGGTGTGAGTTCAGGTGATTCCATTAAAACTTTTCTTGAACTTAATTTGTTCTATTACGGTGAGTTGTTTTCTAATAATGTATTCAAAATTTTGAGTTTATAAATTTTGGATTTTAGAAAAGAAGCTTAGTAGAAGGGGAATCTTGAAGCAATGGTAAAGTTATTTCTGTGTGATCTATTGATCACAAGTTCGAGCAGTGGAAGCAGCTACGAATGCTTGCATTAGGGTAGGTTGTTTACATCACACTCATTGAGGTGCGGACCTTTTTCGAACCCTGTATGAATGCGAAATGCCTCATTCACCGGGCTGCCTTTAGAAAAGAAAGTACTTATTATTGGGTTAAAATAAATTAGTTTATATATATTTCGTGAATTTTTTCTTAATATGAATACATGGTTATTAGGTTTTGTAGAACACACAGCTTGTACTATAGCTCCACCTCTGTACAGTGGAGTATTAGGTTTAGTCTTGGTTAGACCTTGAGTTTATCTTCTAAACATCAAGTCATTTGAAAGGTAACCAAAAATAATTACAAATAAGTAGAATTGATAATATGAAACAAGGTCAGTAACTTCATTATCAGGTTGAATTATATTATTAATGATGTAAAAATATCATATGGTATTCACTATTTAATGAGCCAATTAAAATTCAAATTCGCGCTTGGTAAAGGTCGTTAAGAAAAAAAAAATAGTTTCACTCACAAAACTCAAAATATAGACTTCTGCCTTAGAAGTTTCATTCTCTCTCCACAAAATATTATTCGTTTCCATTTTAATTTATGTGAACTTATTACTTTTTTAGTCTGTGCCAAAAAAAATAGTTTTTTTCATTATTTGAATACAATTTACGTTTATGCAATAATTTATAGCCATACAAAATATATATACTTTATTTTACACAACAAATTCAAAAATCTTCATTCTTTTCTTAAACTATATACACAATCAAATAAATTCATATAAATTGAAACGGAGAGAGCCGGTGTAACGTGCAGCTATCCACGATAACACATCCATCTCGTCATAAGTTCGGTAATTAGAAAATAAAGTTTAAAAGGTTTTAAAGTACTAATTAAAATAAAACTTTTTTGTTACTATTACTAATTAAGTACGTAAAATTTTGTACGGAACACGTGAAACGAAAAATAAACTGTTGGACATGGAGAATAGTGGAATTAGCCCCATTTTGGAAAGCAATACGCACGTGAATAAGAGGATTCCTACTTACTGCTTTTTGATGAAAAATTTATGATTTGTACATTTGTTTAGTGGGAAACAAAAAAACGATATCTCGGTGTACAAAATATTTTGCATTCATATAAAATTCAAAAAAATTATCGAATTCTAAGGATATAATGTAGATAGTGTATCCTAATATAAGGGTTAATGTTTATTTCTACTGCTCGAACTCGTAACCTATAAATCACACAAAAATAATTTTATCGTTATTCCAAAACTCTCTTAATCATTTTTTTGTTTACTTAAGTCTGAACGGATAGAGTTAACCAATATCTTTATTAGATATAGTAGACATAGGATAAATAATCCTAAGGTGGCAAATTAATTCGGACACTACCATTTATTAAATTAAGATATAATTTGTCACATGTAAAAAATAATTAGTAGTAGTAGTAATTAATTAGTTATAAATTTCCGAAAAAGACCCATACAGTGACGTTTAAGTGACTCAGCTTCTATAATGCACCTTCCCCAAATACGTGTCAGTTAAGAATCTCAAAATACCAAAATTACCCTCAATTAATACACATATTTATACCTACACCAAGTCATTTTCCTAGTCAACTAAGGATACTTTTGTCATTATGTACAGAACTCCAAAACCTGTAAAGATTAGAAAACGAAAAAAGCTCATATTCATAAAGTATTGGAGAACCTTGATCCCAACCC